CCTCCCTCGCACCTCCCTCTGCCTCCGGCGCCCCCTCCGCCTCTCCCTCGCGCCGCTGCACTGCCTCCGCTCCTCGTCGTATCCGCCCCAGGGCCGCTCACAGCACGGTCGCCGTCGCTTGAGCATCGTCTCCCGACCACCTACGCGACCCCGGGTCTCCCGGGCGGCGCAAAGAAGGCGGCACGAACGATCACCTCCCCAGGCGACGCGGATAACACCAGAGCTCCGATCTGGCGTCCACGGCGAGCAGCCCTGACGGCGAGGTAAACTGTCATTTCCTCTCTCGCGCTTAAACCTCCTACCATAGATGGGATGGTGTTGTCTCTTAAATTGCTTCTCTTTCATTCCTGAGTACCGTGAGGTCCCCATCTAATGTTTCCTTTGCTGTTGGTGTTATGTACCCTTCAGGTGCTCGGTGAAATGCCCAAAAGGGCTTTGCTTGCTAATTTTGCTCAGTTCGGCGCCTTGCCGTCATCTAACTATTCCTCTGTGTTGCTTATGTATACCTGAACGTGTGTTATCTTTGCAGCTTCAGTATGCATGTACATAAACATCCATTAGTTTTGCTTTGTGGTACAGGAAACGCAAACAATCAATAGCTGAATAATGTTGACTCATCTGCTGCAGCTTTGTATTTACGAATGCCAATTTCAGAAACCCTGAGCGTGAGCATCTAGGTAATATTGACTCATCAACTTCAGCATTACATTTTTGAATGCCAATTTTAGAAACCCTGAGCGAGTGGTCAGGCGATAGCTACGGGTCTCATCTTTAAAATTTTATTTCCCTGTAATGTTGCCTACTGCTATACTCATTACATCGCATTTCTGGCTATGGTGTCAGGTTTCCATTATTAATAAAGCATTAATTAAGTTAACACAAGGTAAACTTAAAGCTCCATCTGAAGATACGGTTATTTGGCCAGCCATGCAGATGTTTACATTTCTTATTACTGTATGACTACACCTTAAAAAATGTAGCAAATATGCCTCATATATGGACAGGCAAAGGCCAGCCTGCTTATATGATAGGTCCCTACAAACGCAAGAAATGGATCAACACATGCATAAAAAATTCGCTCCTTTTCCCACCTGTGACATTGCCATTGTTTTAGGTTTACCCAATTCTCCAGGTCACTACCTCCAGCTATGGAACACCTGCTTTTCCTATGATTACTTGAATTAGTACAATGTTTTTTCTATGATTAATAAACTGCCTTTTCTCTGATCTGTAAAATTCATCCGTCCATACCTGGCCAAACTATGCATGTCATCATATGACCGAACTCTGCTCTTTGTTTACAACAGATATGACACGTGCAGGGTTGTCCATTAGGACTGAAACTCGAAGGATATGCTTCTCCAACACAATAAGGTAGGTTCCCATATTTTAGCAAAGAAACAGGAGTTCTAGACATTACATCATTCTTATTTTCCTTTTTTTTTTTTTTTGCTTCTAGCCATACTTCTTCTGTATCCTCATTACCTGATTATTGGTTATACATATTCATTCTGCATTTGATCCTTTTCAGGATAGCAATAGGTATAAATACTATCAAAATGCAGCTAACAGCCTAGCACCAAGCAATGACCCACTTATACTCCACAGGTACTTACGTTCCTAACATTCACGCACATCTAACAATGTGTTCAGGTTGTCTACATGCTTCGAGGGAATTCCCATAGGTCTGTACCCACGTCACCTAAAATATATCCTGTTTTGCAGCCTATGCAAATGCCCTTCTATATGGTTATTTAGTATTTACTGTGAACACACCCTTGATCGTCGGAACAACAACAATAATGGTACATGTCTTTTAAAAGTTAAAACCATATACTTATTCTCCACTGTTACATAAGCGTGCTACTTGAGCACTTCATGTGACCATTTACACCTTAACCTCTATTCCTTTCATCTTTATTTAATCATTTTTGACGGTTTAATTTCATCATAGGTCAAATAGCTCCCTGCGGCAACAAACTAATCTTATATTTTCCTATACTAATTGTGCTTAAGGTGATAGAGAAACCAATCTGGGTGGCAAATTTGTCAGTTTCACAAGTTAAATGCTCTGTTTCTTATATCCCAATGAGTTGTTGCTTTTTATTTTGAGTAACTCTTACAATGCTCTAATTCTCTCCCTGATGCTTTTGATTGATTGCACATGCAGAGGCATTGGGGATTATATACACCTTTCTATAATGCATCTATTCTGCCATAGTCTTCTCTACATCTTCCAATGTAGGTACTTTTCTGTTTTACTGATCCCCTTGGCTCTAAATTTGAGGTCAAATTTAACTGAACAAGACTCAATCTCGCCTGAAAATTTTGTAGTCATTTCATTTAGGTTTTCGGCTGCTTTACTACAATTGCACCTGATTCTTGATTTTTGGCTATCAGCCACCAAAACATTTACAATTATTGATCTTACCATATTATGTCCCTTTCCTTTTTCTCTTTTGTTGATTTTGAATTTTGGATATCATTCTTCCGCAGCCTATATTTGATTTTGCACGCTAAGAAATCATACCTCCATCCCCGCGCAAAGTGCGGGGATCTATTTAGTTTGAGACTAGAAACAAATGTTCTCATTTGTCCTGCATAGAGAGGAGTTCTTTGATGATAGTTATTCTCAGACAAATAAATAAATCAACGAAGTCACCAAAACATATGCGCTTATTTGCAAAACAGCAAAACCTGACAATTTGCCCTGAAATACATGGTACATGCTTTGTGACATTCATAGCTATTCCATGACTTATAGTTGGTAAATTTAGGTGCGCATATCTGTGACATACCATGAAACTAATGAGTTCTTTGTTGGATGCCTACATATTCATTTGCATCTAGGTGGCACTTATGGCTTATGTTGCCTAAAACACATGTGAGCCATTTGTAGAGCAATAAAACCTGAGATTTTTCACATTTTCTAGGCCTTTCTCAGAAATACATGAACCTTTTTTTTAATGTCGTTCATGATTCCATCCTCTTCGGTCAGTGCATTCATATGAATATCTGTGACATACCATGTAATTAATCATTTCTTCCTTAGCAGTAATACATCAGACAAAACCAGGGAAACCTAATCACACTCATCCTGATAACCCTTTTTGCTTTTAATCCAATATGTCATTGAAGACTTCATTTCAGCATGTGTAAGCAACTTATGACCTTAAGGGAGACCCTTTTTTGCTTCGCTCAGTACATTCATATGAATATCTGTGTCATACCATGTGATTAATCATTTCTTCAATTCTTCCTAAGCAGTAATACATCAGACAAAACCAGGGAAACCTAATCACACTCACCCTGATAGCCCTTTTTGCTTTTAATCCAATATGTCATTGAAGACTTCATTTCAGCATGTGTAAGCAACTTATGACCTTAAGGGAGACCCTTTTTTGCAGGCATCGAAATCTGGTGCACCATGCACTGCTGGTGGTTGCACTAGCCACTGACATTATGGCAAATACAAGCTGAGAAGAGCTGCTGCTTTCTACAGGCTAGCCTGGTGGAAAGATCCTGTGCTCAACATTTTCTTGCCAACCGAGCTTACAATCGCTGCTTCTCTACAGTTTCAGTATCAATTCCTCATATATGGGACTGACGCTGCGCTAGACAGCCTTACAGCTATCGAGTTACAATTAATCATCTACAAAGATAGTAGTATGTATCTCTTTATCAAGTTCTTACATCATCAGGAACCACACGGACCGCAGAGCGCAGACTTGCCCAGTGTTACCATACTGACTCATATATGTATGTCTTTATCAAGTTCTTACATTACTTGAATGGTCAAAAAGGTTAGTTTACCATTTTTTCAAGTGGAGACATATCTGCAAAAAGTTGTGAGTATTTGGTACAGAATTTCTCATGCTTCCTATCTACATACGTTTTTTTTGAAGTGTACTATACTATGGTGAGGATCAACTTTCATGTGTCCATATCTTGAATTTATCTTTTGCTACCCGTACCTATGCACAACACAAATAATTTGTGCGTATATGTCTTTGAGCCAAAAAATAATAATAACAATGTCGCCTGCCTCTGCGAACCCGCTAGTATGTTTGGATATTGAGCCTTTGGAGGACATCTTCCTAGCCAGCTGTCTTCTCAAAACCTGACCTCGGAACAGTCCCCTAGCTTAGATTTTACTAAAGAGAACGCCGTTCACTCCAATTAAACTCATCCAGTAATATAAATCTCTAGCTTCTTAATTTGAGTTGATATTTTATCTTTACGCTATTTGTTCCTTTTCCTAATCCATCTTCATTATATAACTTAAATAACAATTTGCTCAGCAAATATTCTGTATGTTAAGGTTATGGATACCTAGGCCCATGCTCCTTTGTCTAGCAAATATTAGATCAATTAGCTACTGTATATTTTATTTTATTTTATTGTAGTGTAATCGTTTGGATATCCGAGTCAGACCTGTCAAAGAAAAAAAAAAATACTGTATTAGAGTGTAATCTTACGTAGAAGCTGCAACTCAGACCACACACGGCCATGTTTCTTTTCTTCAGATGCTGCCATCCGAGGCTTTGCAGCTAACGCTTGTATGCGAGCCGGGAGCGTCCACAAGACCGCGGCCTGGCCATGTTGCATCTCTACTCTTAAGATGGGCCGAAACGTTGACATGTCGCTTTGGGCCAGGAAAAGTGTCCAACTACAGCTCCTGTCACCGAAAAGGCAGCCTGAATTCTCCACCAGTCTATTCTCTGCAACTTCAGAAACGCTGCTGACTAGTTTACAGATGCTCTCCATGCAAGCACATTACAACCAAAATCGCCCAGTACAATGATCTCAGATTGTTCCATGAGTGCCAAGCACGGGCTAAGTGTGGCGTGGAGAGCGAGTTCCTACCTAGCTAAGCTAATAACCACCATCTGCTAATGGCTACCGTGGTCAGATGTACTCCTATCTAGTATGAAGCAATGCAAGAATCAGCTTCTTCATTCACGCCCCCGGAGCTACCCAAGGCGGAGGAGCCGGAAGTCCTAAGGTGTCTTGGCGGCGAGCTCACCCAGACGCAGCGGAGCGTCGTTGTTGATCGGGCGGTGGCGACGAGGATTCAGGTTGTAGTTGTAGTCCATGCCGAGGATCTCAGGTGCCGATGCATAATCCGTGCCGCCACCGCCATGCCTTGATGCTTGGAACCTGGCATGGGTTACCGAGCCCTTCTTACTCCTTTTACCCTGGAAGCGAATTGCAGCCTAGTATAAGCAAACATAGCTAACAGACGGTAGTAGTAATTAGTAAACCAAATGTGTGCTGGCGTGCTGCAGAAATGCATGAAACGCCGGAGTAAGTGAGCAGTGCGTTTACCGAGGTCATGTACAGCTTCAGCAGGTGCATCTGCTTCCTGATTTGCTCCTGCTGCAACAACGAAATCGACATGTTTCAGACTTTCAGTACATCATCCAAATCTCAGTGTCCATGCTATACATCTATACCTACTGGTGATCTACATTCAGAAGAAAGGCAACAATTAGACTTCACTACGCAATGCATGAGCAATGCTAATAGGAGAGATTAGTTGGTCAGTTGGAACATAGTAGTATCTTTTTATCAGAGGCTAGAACCAGGAAGAAGTATTTGCCTGCTTTACTTTCAGTTATTCCTTGGTGGGTGAGTTCTCGGAATGCGGTAATCGGCACAGAACGGCACAAGGCCGGCAGATTTGCTCTTGCCGACGCCCCTGCGCCCAGCACTCTCGCCACCCAACCCGACAACGGTAACCTCTACAGTTTTCTCTGCTCCATGGACATGGACAGTGTTTGCACCTGTGCTCTGGGCTCCCCTCCCTTCTTCCGTCACCTCATCCTTCCGGGCTTCTCCGCGCCCCGGTGCTGCCATTGTTCTGCGTCCTCTCAACCATTTCCGACCGGTGGTTAACAATACCGCAGCATCGCCCAATCGTTCCTGCATTTTTTCAGAAGAAAAAGAAAATAGAGTGTTATCACTGGTGATACTGACTGGTAGATGATACTGGTACCATGTACTGAAGCACCTGCAAGATTCCACCCACTAACCTGTGCTTCGGCAGTGGAGGCAGATAGCGCGGACAAGGAGAGCAGAAGCGCCAGGAAAACACCTGCGCACCTCATCTTTCAACACACAACCTTGTTGAGAACAGCGGCTTTGCAACTTGCAAGGAGGTGCTGCGGATTCAGAACCAGGATCAAACTTAAGCAAAAGGAGAGGTTTAGGTGGCAGGTGCAGGGTTTTATAAGGAGGCTGCAGCACCAGCAGGCACAGTCACCCTGGCCTGTAGACTAGCAGGCTTACGGAAAGAATTGAACCCACAGTGTCAGGGATCAGCTCGGCTGAAGCAGCAGGCTGCTGATTTGCTGAAGCTGAACAAACTGCACTTGGCACTTTGGCAGAGGCGCAAATGCTAGTCAAAGCCAGGCGCTGCGTATTCAAATCCCCGTCTGACACGGCCCCTCTGAATACCAAATCCGTCCTTGGTGGCGTTGTGCCTTTCCATTTTTCTTAATCCGCGGCTTGTCGCGCTCGCTCACCGATGCAGACACACACAGCACGGTGGTCCTCTCCTCGCGCGCGCCGGTTGGCCTGCGCTGCACATGGAGGGTGCCAAAACGGCAAAACGTGAGGCCGCGACCCGATCGAGCAGCCGGGCGGGGCGGTGGAACTGGAAACCGATCCCCCGGCTCCGGCGCCCGCACGGCGCTCCGGTCCGGCCGGCCACTCGGCCCGACCGACGCGGCCTTCAAGCCCGTCCCTCGCATTGAGGCGCACGTCTGCTGCCGAAGTGCCGATGCAGTGCATGTACACGCACGCACATCTGCCGCCTCCATGCATGTATGTGTCCACCGTCCAGCGTGCGATGTCTTCAGATCCACGAGCCTTGTGTTGTGTTCATGCCTTGCCGTCATGGGGGGCAGTAAATATTGGGGGTTGCGTCGTCGCATGCAGGGAGATCACTAGCTGCGGTCTCGGATTCCTTCACAGATCCGGCACTGTGCCACGAGCACAGGCTAATCCGCACTAAGAATCTGCGCTTAATTGCTTGCACGACACGGAGTTAACAAAACGGTCATCGCCTCATGTACATCTGCTGATCGAGAGGGAGCATCCCGGATTAATAAAGCTGATCTCAGGGAGGTTTAGTTTGAGGCTACCTAAGCGGTGAGGCCACGTTACGTAACAGTCAAGATTCGTGGCCCCTAGTAACCAGTAATAATCTTTTATACGTAGGGCCTAATGCTTGTTTACTTGTTTGTTTCAACGACCTCAGCTCAGCGCTCCCCGGTCGGTCAAAGATCTGGCGCCAACTGCGTCCCGCACTCGTGCTGGCCGGATTAAAAATGGGCGCGAGAGATCAGGCGAGGGGTTAGCCGCCGATGGCCACGGATCACCCCTGCCCGAGTCTCTGAACGTGGGGTCGGTGTGAAACGTTTCCCCACACGGTGGCAGTGCCTCTGAAGTAGTAGTACTACGTGGCAGGCGCTCATGTCCGTTCTCCAGTGCTCACGCACACCATACGGCAACCGGCAGGTCGGCGAGAGTCCAGTTGTGCGGCGTCGGGGCCTCTTGACGCCGCGTCGGAACAGGTACGAGGATGAGGAGCCGGGTCGAGGGCCTGCAGCCTGCTGGTGCGCGCAGCCTTTTGTTTCTCGTTTTTTATTTGAATTGACGGGGCGCGGGCACGCACACGACTTTCAGCATGGCAGCTAGCGGCCTAGCGCGCGTGCACGGGCGGGCGTGCGGCATGCCGGCATTGCCCGTGCCGGCACGGGTCCGCGAGACCGCGACCATGTGTTTGAGGCAGCGGTGTCTGGTCTGGTGCCCAGCGGGCGGAACGGCGCAGCCGCGCAGCGCTAGAGGCCGGCCGCAAAGCGGCCTATGCCTCACATACATAGTGCGAATGCCCATTGGCAATGTCGCAAGAGTTCAGGGACGGCCGTAGCTAAATTTCCATTGCTAATCTTACATGTTCCCACGAGCAAAACAAAAAAGAAGAAAAGGCTGTTCCTTAGACACAGAGATCGGCCGCTGTTACCATTTCCATTTCCGGAACCTGAACCTAACTAATGCTTAGTTGTTTCCATTTCCTCATCTGGTGATAGATCATGATCTTCTTCTGGCTCAAATCCCTTTTTCATATCCAGGGCAGGCTTTATGTACGCTTTAGTTTGAAATCATTAAAGATATGGCCCGTCAACCTATCTGGGCTGGGATACATAGGCCTTCTGGGCCTGCGTGGCGCGATGCCACGAGCGTCTTGCTGGGCGCGTATGATCTCTCTCAGCTATTGCGTTAGTTGCTGCTCAAAAAAAAAAAAAAATGCGTTAGTTCAATTTATCTCCATATTAATTAGAAAAATCAGATTTTTATATTCTTTAACTCTTATAAAAATCGTTCAATCTACCTCTCAGAGTGGTCTTGGATGAGATGGCGCTACACCAGCCCTCCACATCAGCAACATAGGAGGTAAATTCAACTTTTACGATAATTCATGGAGGTTAATTAGACTTTATAAAAAGAAATATAGAAATCTTTTCAAACAATATCCAAATTTGTTTATGAAAAATATGCATTTCAAAATACAAAAATATGATTTAATATTAGAGAATTCATAGATAAATGTTTTTAACAGAAAAGTATGAATCTTTTAATATTAAACTAGATTTTATATCAGTTAAAACAAAATTTGTCTGAATTTTGTACGATGTCTGATCTAGTGCATGCGGAGGGCTAGTAAGGGTTTGTTCTGTCGGATCTCTAGGTTTTCTCGGGACTTTGGCAGTTGGTGCGTTTATCAAGGCGGACAATTGGTTGGCTTTCGGTGTGATCATTTTGACCTCTTTTCTTTCCGGTCTGTCATGTGGCAAGGTCCGAATTCTCTAACCCTGTGTTTTGGTGTTGAAGGAGCGTAAGCCTGCTTGAGTGGTGTCTCTCCAGCCGATGTTCTTTCAGGAGGTACTAGATGTTGTTGCCATCAGCAAGTGTTTTTTGCGTTATTCGTAGCCTTTTATGGCCAGGGTTTCGTAAGCGTCCCTTTCCTATGTTGGCGTTTTAGTGCGATTTTTATGTTCCCGCGGGGCAGCAAATGTTTGAAGGAAGAAGATGATCAATTTGGTCTTTCATGTTCTCTTATTCATTGTAGGTTGTTTTGCGTCAATTTTTTTCTTGTACCGACTATTTGATAATTTTAGTGGGAAGGATTGTGATCCTACACTCCATGGTGTTGCCCCAGCCATTGTTCTTTCATGGGTACTAGATCTCATTGACAACAAGAAGTGGCTTTTGTGGTATTCAAAGTCCTCAATGGCCAAGGTGTATGCATGTGTCCCTTTCCCTCCCTGGCTTTTCATGGGATTTCTAGCTCTAGCGGGCAACCGACATTCGAACGAAGAAGACAATAAGTTATTTTCTCTTATTTTTATAATTATTTTTTGTCAAGTTTTTATTGCACTAACTACTATTTTTCTTGATAATTGTTAGATAGGAGGCATTTTTTAGTGTCTCTATTAAAAAGAGCAAGTTATGATGGCCACCGTAACAAAGTACATATAAATATGTATTATCCAACTATTTAAGTTCGCTTTTCTTGTGACATCCCCAACTCGGTACCATTTCTGACATCTAATATAATTTTTTTTTTCTCGAATACGCGTGAGCTCTGCGTATGATTGTATTAAGAGGAATAGAGTTTTATGATACAAGAAAGCTGGCCAAGCCGGGGTAAGCAAAAGGGCTACATGTTGAAAACTGACAACCAAGCTACGCTCCATTGGGGGCACAGCTACGTACCTCCCGGTCAAAGCTCGGAGCCCGGCTGCTCCAGCTTCAATCCAGCGATCCGCTTCTATCATGATGATCTGAAGCAGTTCACCGATCGTAGTGGAAGATTGTGAAAACATCTTGCATTGCGCTCCTTCCAAACCTGCCCAGAGACCAACACGAACAGCGAGAAGGCCTTTCCGCTGCTGTCCGGTGCTTAGCGAACGCAGCTTGCGCCACGAGGCGATTGTTGATGCAGCTCCGTGCGGTAGATGGAGTGCAAGTATTTGCACGATGTAGTGCCAGAGCTCCCTGGTGAACGGACATGAGACGATGATGTGGTTGATTGTTTCCTAAGATTGGTCACAGAGGAAGCAAGTGTCCTTGCGTCTAGTTCACGCCGGCGCGCACTTGTCCGCTGTCCAGTGGCTGCGGCGAATAGCCAGCGAAAGGAATATCTTGACTCTTAAGGGCGTCCAAGTTTTCCAAACCAGGTGTCCGCGGAATGCCGTAGTTGCACTGTGAAGCATGTTGTAACTTGTAAGCCAATTGAACCGAGTAGATTCCCTCCTGAGTCCATAGCCAAATCAACTTGTTTGGCTGATCGCTAAGAGCATCTCTAGCAATCTTCAATACTTCATCCTCGATAGGATTATATTGGTGGCCACCAACGCTTCTTTTTTTAGATTATTAGGGGAGATGCTCCAGCAAACCACCAATAAACCTCCCAATATATGGGACCCACATGTAAGATTATGATTTATTATTTTTTCTTTCCTTTTTCTCCCTCGCGTCTTCTTTGTCGCCGCGCCTTCATCTTCTTTGCCGCGGGAGCAGGAGGCAGCGACAGTAGAGGGCTCGTGCCCAACCGCGGCCCACCACGGCACCAGCTGCGCCCGTGGCCACGGCCCCGACCAGCTCCGCGCCCGGCCCCGGCCAGATCTTCCATTGCGGCTCCATCTCGCTCATCTTGGAGCCGTGCCCGTTGGCGCACCTAGCCACCATATGCACCGCCAAGCTCCGTGACTCGCCGCGGCCCCGACTATGACCACCTCTATGCCCATGGCCATCCCCATCGCCATCTATAGAGCACGATTCACCCGCCCGTCCCGGCCAGCTCCGCGCCTCACCGTGGCCCCGGCCCTGGCTGCGCCGTCCTCTCCTCGCCCTTCACCCCCGGCCATGTGTTCTCCTCCTCTGGATCTAGCCGAGCTTGCAGCCATGGCAGCTGGTCGGTGGTGAGCAGAGGGAGAACAAGCGACAATTATGATGGGCCCCACTGTATTGAGAGAGATGGAACTCCCCTCATTTGAGGGAGAGCAGGGTTTTTTGGTGGCCACCAAAAAAATGGGGGAGGGTTATTGGAGGACTGCTGGAAAAAAAAGTGATCAATCTTCTCCAATATAATAGTTTTATGAAAATGAGAGGTGGGATTAGGGGATTGCTGGAGATGCTCTAAGGTGGATGTTATCCAAGGCATCCCATAGGCTTAGGTACTCATCAAGAAAATAAATAAATGTATTAGGATATGGAGAAGGCATTATCTGCTCTTCTTCCTTTTCACGCATGTAGTAGTTGATGAAGCAAAACAAACTTTTACAATTGTCGAGGAGGGTCAATTACACTGGTGTTTCTCTTGTGGTGATTTTTTAAGAACAAAAGCTTTATTAATTATAAGGAGTAGCATTACAATCATGCAGGCATTGCTTCGCGAAGCTAAGAGGTGTATGCCGAACATAATGTTGCAAAGAAACTAACGCGTGCTTGGCACATAAATGCGCTGCAAAATTCGCAGTTCTTCTCGCGTAGACAACATCAAACGAGGTGAAGGTCGCCGCCATTTCTTCAACATGATGCAGGATCGTCGCAACCTCAGACCGATGAGTACTCTCGTCGTGATCGAAATGAAAAATCCTAAATGTCCTCGAGAACCTCTACTGTTGGGCTCAAGGAGAGGCAATTTGCGTATAAGAGCCCAGCCGTAGTCCAGTATTGTGCAAACTGAACCAAATTTCGAGTGACGCAGCCCAGATAGCACACGGAACAGGCCCGCTATGCCGTCCGTATTCAGCCCACAAACTACCACAGCCTTAAACTCGCTGTGGCCACTGACAGACAGGTACAACTATTGGCTCAACCGTCCCTAACGACCCGCCTGAAAGAAAACGGATCAACCTCTCACACTCCATCCCGCCGTCGAGGTGCCCATCCGACGGCGGCCCCGCCGCAGCCACGCGCGCACCACAACCATGCCGCGACAGCGCCGCACGCAACGTCCCCACCAGTCCACCACACGCCGGCTCCGTGCCTTCGTGCACCCTCTAGAAGCCTCCGGGCTCCCCGCCTCGCCTCGCCTCGTCTCGTCTCCTTCCTCGCCCTCCCGTCCCTCTTAAACCCATCCCCATCACTCCTCCTGTGATGTCTCCCTCTCCCTCCGTATAAACCCTAGCTCTTATCCGCTCGTCACTCCCGAAGCGTCACACCGAACCACCACGCGCGCGCAGGAACAAGCCGCGAGCGCCTGGTCCCCGGTCCTCAGTATCGATTTCCACACCTCATGGCGCCGGCGCTGAGCAGGACGCTGGGGGCGTCATCGGTGGCCGCACTGCTGCCGAGCTCGTCGTCCCGGAGTCTTCCACGGGCCGCGCTCGTGCCGCAGGGCAGGGGCGCCGCCGCGAGGTGCGCGGTAGGGGTAAGATGGGAGGCCGCGAGGCGGAGGATGGTCGGGGTGAGGTGCGACGCCGCCGTCGCCGAGAAGCCTGCCGGCGAGGAGGAGACGGCCGGCGAGAAGTTCGAGTACCAGGCTGAGGTGAGCTATCGAATTCGGGAATTTGGGATTGGGGTACATGAATTGTCACTTGTGTGCTGCATTCACTCATTCAGTATGCTGTTGCACTTTGCTGTTGGGCTGTGGCCAAATTCGTGTTTCGCGATTAACAGAATTCTGCTTGTCTTTATGGAATCTGCAATTGAACGCTTCTGTGTTTATGTAGCGTTTCTCTATGCCCTGCAGGTTAGCCGCTTGCTGGACTTAATTGTACACAGTTTGTACAGCCACAAGGAAGTATTTCTCCGTGAACTTGTAAGGTCAGTCATCTTCTCGGCGTGCACAATTGAATTGACTTGTTCTTATGACCAAGGATGAATTGCTGCTATTCACAAACTGCATTTCTACACCTCCTGAACAACTGAACTCTGACACAATTTATGTTGCCATCCAGTAACGCGAGTGATGCACTGGATAAGCTGAGATTCCTCAGTGTAACGGATCCTTCTGTGTTGGCTGATGGTGGTGACTTGGAGATAAGGATTAAACCTGACTCAGAGGCTGGGACACTCACTATCACGTAAGTTGTTCATTAAACCATTGTCAGTCACCATTTTAATTTATCAGATGTGATTAAAATCATTATTCAGACTCATTTTGTGAATGCTACAGAGATACTGGCATTGGAATGACTAAAGATGAACTCAAAGACTGTCTTGGGACCATTGCACAAAGTGGCACCTCAAAATTTTTGAAGGCTCTAAAGGTGCACTTCTTTTTTACCATTAGCTACATTATTTTTTTCTGTTCCACAATGAAGCCATTGATTCCTTTGTTGATAATAATTTGGTTTCTCTGTTTTGTCCAGGAGTCGGAGAACAAAGATCTTGGTGCAGATAATGGACTTATTGGTCAATTTGGTGTGGGGTTCTATTCGGCTTTCCTTGTTGCAGAGAGGGTATGGAATGTCTCTTCTATGATATGGCTCAGCTGATGAACCTGCATTACTTTCCAAAATCTACATATTATTCCAGAGATTCTTACAGTTGCTGTGCATGCTGAAAATGTCTCTACATCTTGTTAGTAACTTTGCATATTCTTTGTCATCATACAGGTTGTGGTGTCTACTAAAAGTCCAAAGGCAGATAATCAGTATGTGTGGGAAGCAGAGGCTGACAGCAGCTCTTACGTAATCAAGGAAGAAACTGATCCTGAGAAAATGCTGACACGTGGAACACAGATTACTCTTTATTTGAGAGTAAGAAACTTTAAAACTCTTTCTATATGATCTCTACACTCTAGCAGAATTCTTATTGCCTTCTTGTTTCAGGATGATGACAAATACGAGTTTGCTGACCCTGCGAGGATTCAAGGCTTAGTTAAGAACTATTCGCAGTTTGTCTCATTCCCCATATATACATGGCAGGAGAAATCAAGAACAGTTGAGGTAGGATCGTGATATGGTTTATTGTAATTCTGCTTCCTTCTGCTACAATTATTGTATTTGCATCTATACCTATATTCCTTGTCTGAACAGGTTGAAGAGGAGGAAGAATCAAAAGAAGGTGAAGAGGCTACTGAGGTTAGTTCTGTGTGAGTTATTTGAGTTCGAGTTCGGTCTCTCTGTTACTGCTGTATCACCCTGCATGTATCCTCTTCTGTTATAGGGTGAAAAGCAGAAAAAGAAGAAAACTATAACCGAGAAATACTGGGACTGGGAATTGGCTAATGAAACGAAGCCCATATGGGTAAGATGACCCCAATTTATGTGCTACCATTGTACCATGATCTAAATATTCCTAGCTAAGTCATGTCAAGTATGTCAGATAAGTACATTTACAGACTTAGGTTTCCATTTGCTGTTGGAGATATTGAAGTTGGTTATTTTGTTCCATGCAGATGAGGAATCCAAAGGAAGTTGAGAAAACTGAGTACAATGAATTCTACAAGAAGACATTTAATGAGTTTCTGGATCCGCTTGCTTACACTCACTTCACCACAGAGGTTGGGGGGTTTCGAAGTTTACTTCTTTTTCTTTTATTTATGCATATTAAACATATGAACATGATCTATATTCTAAACAGGGAGAGGTGGAATTTCGGAGTGTTCTCTATGTCCCAGGGATGGCACCTCTTAGTAATGAGGAGATAATGAATCCAAAGACCAAAAACATCCGATTGTATGTCAAAAGAGTGTTCATATCAGATGACTTTGATGGCGAGCTGGTATGTTTCTCCCCCCCCCCACACACACACACACACTAGAACAGTCCAGTGCACTTACAGTTGGCATGGTTAAGTTACTGAGTGTATCTTTCTCTGCAGTTTCCCAGGTACTTGAGCTTTGTGAAAGGTGTAGTTGACTCAAATGATCTCCCTCTCAATGTTTCTCGTGAGATCCTTCAAGAAAGTAGAGTTGTAAGTTCCCGATAAATAATTCTCATATAGTGTATTTGATTAATACTTCCTCTGTTTTTTAATGTATGGTGTTTAGGACAAGCTAATTAGTTCATTTCTATACTAGTTAGCTTATCCTAAACTTGTATATTTACAAATGTTGAAAATATAACATGCACAATGTATGTTGATGTTTGAATATAATAGTTGTGTTCCCTGTGTTATAGGTCAGAATTATGCGTAAGAGACTTGTTAGGAAGACATTTGACATGATTCAAGAGATCGCCGAGAAGGATGACAAAGAGGTCAGAGTAAAGAATGAACGTTTTTCCATCCACAACTTTTGATTTACTCAATTTGTGTTGACATTTGTTGTAACTCATGCTGCAGGACTACAACAAATTCTGGGAGAGCTTTGGCAAGTTCATGAAGCTTGGTTGCATTGAGGACACAGGAAACCACAAGCGTCTTGCACCATTGCTGCGATTCTACTCTTCTAAACATGAGACAGACTTAATAAGTCTGGATCAATATGTAGAAAACATGCCTGAAAACCAGAAGGCTATCTATTATATCGCTACTGATAGTCTCCAGAGTGCGAAGACTGCTCCTTTCTTGGAAAAGCTGGTTCAGAAAGATATTGAAGTACGTGGACTACTTGTTATTGGACAGATAATCGTTTTCCTCTTATGCTGTAGTTTTACTCATAGTGCCCCTCTTTGTTCTGTAGGTTCTTTACCTCATTGAGCCAATTGATGAGGTTGCCATTCAGAATTTACAGACATACAAAGAGAAGAAGTTTGTTGATATTAGCAAAGAAGATTTGGAATTGGGTAAGTAAAATCTGAGTTGTTACGTGATTCAGTATAACTCTTTGGGTTTGGCAACGCGCATGCCGCATGCTTATACATACTGGCTGGTACAGGTGATGAAGATGAGGACAAGGAGAAAGAAAGCAAGCAGGAGTATACCCTTCTATGTGACTGGATAAAGCAGCAGCTTGGTGATAAAGTCGCCAAGGTCCAGATCTCGAAGCGACTCAGCTCTTCTCCATGCGTTCTTGTATCTGGCAAATTTGGCTGGTCAGCCAACATGGAAAGGTAATTTAATGTTTGAGATCCCATACAACCTGATTGTTACGGTAAAACCTTATTTTCCTAACATGTGTTTTATAGGCTCATGAAAGCACAGACACTTGGTGACACATCAAGCCTGGAGTTCATGAGAGGCAGACGAATTTTTGAAATCAACCCTGACCATCCTATCATCAAGGATCTAAGCGTAAGATTTTCCTTCACAGTATTGTTTGTTAAAAGTTATGTATCTAGTACGTTCTTTTGCCATGCTCCAATTTCGTTGTCTGTGTCATGTATATGCCAAACCGTCACAGGCTGCTTGCAAAATCGAGCCTGAAAGTACTGAAGCCAAGAGGGCGGTTGAGTTGTTATATGAGGCTGCGCTGATCTCCAGTGGGTATACTGTAAGTGCAACGTTCCTATGTGCTTCTTGTTGGCCTATGATGGTGATGATAAATATGACTGCAACGTGATTGTTCACTTCTGTTATCCAGCCTGACAGTCCAGCAGAGCTGGGAGGCAAGATCTACGAGATGATGACCATGGCCCTTGGCGGGAGATGGGGAAGGTTGGAAACAGAGGAGGCTGAAGTCACCACCAGCATTGACGCAGATTCTTCTGAAGGTGCCACGACGGAGGTAGTCGAGCCCTCTGAAGTGAGGACAGAGAGCGACCCGTGGAAGGATTAGATAGTTCTGTATGCAAGGATTATGCCATGGAGGTGTATGAGCACTGGATATATAACAAAAGTACGAACCAGAGCCAGGATAGAGGAATACAGTGTTGATAAGAACATTGGTGTTCAGTGTAGATCTGGTTTGGGTTGTGCTGATAATTTTTGTAGGCTATAGCCATTCAATGAAAAATGCCTCTGTGCTTTCGTGCATTCTTGCTCTGGTCTTTGCAAATATGCTAACTTTTGCATAGTGCGTGCACGGTTTTTCTTTTGAACGTCGTTACTTCCTTCGGTCCTGATTATAAGTTATACTTTGGTTTTTATCCTAATTTAAATTTCTTTATTTTTTATCAAATTTATAGAAATATATTGAAGGGCGGGCCTGTGTAAGCAGTAGAGTCTTACCGCATGTGACCGGAAGGTCTTGGGTTTAAGTCGTGGTCTCCTCGCATTGCACAGGCGAGGGTAAGGCTTGCCACTGACACCCTTCTTCAAATTTCACACAGAGCGGGAGCTCTCTGCACTGGGTACGCCTTATATCGTCGTACCAAATAAGTGATATCATATGGTAGATTGCATGAAACTGATCTAATGTTGTAAATTTCATTTTTCTATAGACTTGGTCTAAGTCAGAAATTTGATTTTGAATAAAAATCAAGGTGAGCTAATGTAAGGCCGCAGTTCGTCGGATCAGTCAGCTGTCACCGTCATTCACAGAGGCAACAAAACTTCCATGAACCTGTCGTGCTTTTGTATTTTGGTATTCCAATTGCACGACTGTGTTTCTAAACAATATGTTGTTGATGATACATGTCCTTTACAACGGGTACTGGAAACGCTTTTATACAAATTGCAATGCTGTCTAGCTGTCTATATTGTTCGAGCACTCATTATGTTTAAACCGGAAAATTCGACGAAATCGAAGGCCGTTGCGACCATATGAAGTACCATAGTCCGTCCATGTGGACATCGTTGAGCTGCCGCCTGCCGGAACCTTTGTGCTCAAGCTGTGCCTTCATAGCGGGCCTAACGGAGACCCTGCGCATTGATAATGGGCCGATGGAGGCCCGTTATGTGCTTCGGGTAGTGGGGGCCATGGGATCCTGCACGGCCCAGAGTCCAGACATAAGGACGCGCGGCGGGGACGAGACGACGTGCGCATGCCACAGGCACAGCGGAACGTGGCGAATCCCGGAATCCCCACCGGCAGCAGGCTTCCATCGGAGTGCGCGACGAGCACACGCTCAGGCGCTTGTCCGATCCGGCGTCGCGGTCGCCCGAGCTCCCACCCACGAGGCCACGAGCGGGCTGGCCGCACGCGGGCGGAATCGCCGCAGCGTACGGCCTCGCGCGCAGGCGCATGGCAGGGGTCCGGGTCCGGCCGGCACGCCTCGGGCAGGTACCAAGCAGCAGCGCCTAGCCTTGTCCTTGAACCGTGGCGACTGGCGACACCGGCGGAATATACCAAAATGCTTGTTTGTTCCACGGAGCATTGCCTGCGCCGGTTGTCTTGTCCGCTTTGGGTGGCAGCTGTAGAGTGCGCAGAAGTTTCACTGTGCACGACGATTGGTCATCACAGGTTTGTTTTCATCAGGCCATGGCCATCACCAGGTTTGTTTTCAGGCCATGATTAGTCGCAAGTTGGGGCCAAATGATTCTGAATGAGCTCATGCTGATCTCTTTCGAGGCCGGAGAAGGAAGATCCTTTTGTCCCTAGACCACGGGCACACCTTCTCCCTATAGTCCATCGATCATGCACCTACCGTTTGCCCTCACACACAGTTCGTGATGACTGATCTTCTCGCGGCAAAAAAAAAAAAAAAACGCGCGGGTGTCACACTTAGCTGCCGCAAAGCGCAAAGTGTGATAGCTAACCAGATACTGCAGCCTCTACATAATACATTCACAATACATGGATCGACCAAAGCTTGCCTCCGAGTGCAAGTGCGGAACAGACAGAGTCCATGAACATGCATGATCAATGTAGCATCCTTCTTTGATTTGTGGCACAAAGAGGATTTGCCAAATGTATGATGTTTCAACGTAAACATCGCCGGACCGCCCCCAATTTATGAGTGTTTCCTGCACCCTCAACTATTATGCAAACAAAAACACTGAAACTACTAACAAAACAAGGCTCCTCGCGTTACATGCATCCTGCAGCAGCAGCAGCTCATTTGCTCGCTACCAACACACAGCCCACTGTTACTGCACTGCGCGCCAGCCATGAATACACGCGACCACCCAAACAGACAGAATTTCCAGCCATCCAGGCAACGCCACAGGCTCTCTCATCCATCCGTCCAAAGCTTGCTTCCGTGGGGTGGGGGACTGGGGGCTCCACGAGCTTTTTCTCAGTTCCTTCTGAACACAATAAAAACCCGGCCGATGCAGCACAGCCGTGACGACGCGGTTAAAGGCTTGGATGAGCTACAACTGCAGTGCTGCTGCTGCTCCCAGCTGTAGCAGCATCAGTTATGCGGCCCTGCGCACCTGCATGTTCGCCGATCAGATATTCAGATGGAAGAAGCCTTGCTCTTTACTATGTGCAACTGGCATGTTCAGTCACATTTGAAACCCGTCCTGCGACGGCCTGATGCTCAAGTCCTGGGACCCCAGGGACGGGTACGCCATCTGCACAACGTCACTGAATGACCCATTCAATGCGTGGGGCATCTGCTCGACAAATCCGAAGATTACATCAGTATTGTAAATTTGATGCAATTGCAATCAGTGTTTGTATGAAGATCTTGGTGTCACAAGCAAATTTGTTCCTCAACATAACTCACAATAGGAGTTGGAGAAACCTAACTTAGTATGTGGATTGCCCGTTAGAAAATATGTACTGTATGCAGGTTTGGGGCAAATTTGTTCCTGAACATTCTCTCTCAAAAAAAATTATTTGTTCCTGAACACAACTTAGTTGTCTATGAAGATCTTGGTATCACAAGCAAACTTGAAGTTTATGTTTGAGAAAAAAATATGTTATGTTGCTACAGGATAGCTGAAGCTATGTCAACTGCTACCTGAAGACTGAAGTGATTACAGTGTGCTGTGTTGATACTTAAACAATCTGGTACTAGGGTGTGTTCAATTATACTGAATAGATGCTAACCTGAGACCCTTCTTTTGCACTTAATTGTGCCTGCATGATTCTCCTGAATACGTCTGGGTTGGCCATGCCAGCAGCGCCCCCCTGAATCAGGCCTGGTTGCGATAGCTGTAGTTGTGGGTGCATCATTTCTGGGGAAAATCCGAGGGACGACGAAGGAACACCAGGGAAGCGAAGAAGCTGATGATAAGAGTGGTTTTGTTTGTTAGATTCTTATATGCATAGCTAATGAACAAAAATGAATGAGATTGCAAGAAGCATCATACATCTTTCGATAGAAGCCCTTCTATATTGAGGTCAAGCCTTGGGTTTACTGTTGCGAGCTTCATCGATAAGAACTGCAAGATTAATTGCGTCAAAAAAAGAACTGCAAGATTAATTCAATATTTTGACGCTTGCCATCAGTATGTAACGAGGGTAGTAGAAAATTGTATTCATATTCAGGTCTCAGTATAAGTATCTATTGATTCTACTTTCTCTCTTCCAAATGACAACTTGGTTCGTAGCTAAGCCTTGATTCAGACAAAGTTGTGCATATTTTAACATGTAGTGTATTGGGGGGATGTTAGTTATTACCTCAACTTGTCTTTGCAGGGACTGAACATAGTTGATGATCTCGTCAAGCATTACTGCCTTCCCAGTGACCTGGATTTCAAGGGATAGAGATGTTCATTCGCAATGAAAATCAACATAAAAACACAAGTTCCCTTTTTTCTTTTGTGCTAGATAGACCTACTTTGCTGCAGCCAGGAACAAGGTCCTGCAGAAGCTTCATCCTCTCGCTAATCTTCTCCCTCCTTAACTGCAGAAAAGATGCAACAACCAGAGTTTTCAGGACCATTCATGTCAATTTCAGAACGATCCAAGGTTCCACAGCAAACGGTAAACATTGGGGTGTCACCCTTTGATCAAATCCGTACCCTTTCTGCTAGGCTGTGGTTGTTGGTTGCCTGTCCGCGCCGTGCTCGGACATGAATGTAGTCTTCCTTCTGGGACTCGGAGGTCTCTTTCGCTCCCTTCCCTTTCGACTTGCCGGGTCCGGTGGTTGTTGCCGGGCTGCTCTCCTCGCCTTTGTCCTTGCTGTGCACGCTCTCGTTTGCTGAGTCGGCGGGCAGGTTGGCCGACTGAACCTGATCGCCTCCCATCACCTTTCATCATACAGAACACGCACAGACGTATCCATCCATTTTAACTTAGCTACATCGATCCTCGACAGGTTTTTGAAACGACAGTGGAAAAGTTGCAGACACAAGCAGCAAGCAAGAAGAGCGCTCACCTCGTTAGGCCTTCTCCTCTTCTTGGAGTCCGACGTCCCCTTGGACGAGCAGTCCCCACCAGCAGCCTCCGAGCTCAGCACCCCGTCGTGCCCGTTCCGGCCGAGCTCCGGCTCGCCCTTGTCGTTGCCGTCCTTCCTCTGGTGATCCAACAGCGCCTCCGAGGAGCCACTGAACGCGTTGTTCATGGGCTGATGATCAGCTGCGCCGTAGCCAGCGGTAGCGGCCATCACCCCGCCACCGCCGCCGCCGAAGCAGGACGCCCGCGCGGCGCGCTCGATGAAGCCGGAGTCCACGGGGAAATGGCCGAGGCCCTGGGGGAGGAAACCGGGGACCGGCGCCAAGAAGCCGCCACCGCCCCGCGCGGCCGACATGGCGCCGACGTCGGAGAGCGCCATGGCCTGGGAGGTGGACGCCCACAGGCCGGCGGACGCGAAGGCGGAGTCCATCATGGGAACCTGCTGCGGCTGCTGCTGCGGCGGCGCGCACGAGAAGGCGGCGGCGCTGAATTGGGTCTCCCACTCCACCGGGATGCCGGCGGCGCCGGAGGACGCGTTGCCCTCCATCCCTTTCTCGCCGCTCTCGTTCATGTCCATCGCTTGCTTGTAGTAGCACTCACACAAGACGCGAGAAGTCGCGGGGCGCAGAAGGTCAATGGACGAATCAGAGACGAGAAAGGCTAGGGAAGAAGAAGTAGCTCCTCCATTGGCTAGAGAGCTTCATAGGCAGGCAATATGATAGCCGGAGCAAGCACGCAAGCAAGAAGCTCTCGTCATGGCCTATGGCAGGAAAAGGAAAGATGCCCAGCCACTGGAGATTCTGATGCTATCTGTTCTGGCGAGAGGCATAGGAAGAAGAGCTACGAAAGAGGGGAGAGAGCATAGACTATACGAGGGAGAGAGAGAGGGGGGCTTGTAGGCAAAGGCTTGTCAGATTTATAGGTCTACTAGCTGTTGTTCAGTAGTTGTTGTAGTTTCACCAGTAGTGGTACATGCATGGTGTTGGTGAGCCACGGCGATTAGCTGCAGGAGTTGCAGGCAGCCGCTTTACTCCTCCTAATCACCACCACCATGCATGGCCGGTGTTGTTTAGCCTTGATGGACCTTATTTTTAAGTGTCTCGCGTCCGCCTCGCTTTATCTTTCTTAACAGCCCTTTAATCATGCTGTTTACCTTTGCTTTTGTTTACTTACTTCCTACGAGCACTACTCTCTCTCTCACACACACAGCAAGCGTAAAGAGGAAGGGGGCTGCCTGATCGATCAGGTTCTTCTTCACAGCAAGCACACAGCACAGCAATACTGCAATGGCATTACCATGCCGGCATCCCTGACAGTGCCAACTCTCACGGGCAATTGTTTATGGGGGCAACCGCTCGCTTTCCTCAAGGCGCCTGCCTGGCTGTAAATTATGCCCTCGCCCCCCTACCCGAATCATTATTTGACTGCTGGGTTTTTTTAATGGTCGGCACGGCCAATTATTTACACGCCCTTCATGATCGGCATGATTAGTTTTGTTGAAGAAAATGGGGGTCAACATTAGCAGGGGGTGCCGATCGAGGCATTAGCTCTACTTACCCCCACGGCAAAGCAAGCCTACTTTCATTTCATTTCACCCCCTTTCTTTCTTTCCTTCACATTTCATGCATCCTCCAGTCTTCTATTAGGCCCCCTCTGGTAGTTGGTTATGAATTAATTTACAGCTTAGAAGCAGAAGCAGGGGAGTGAGTTTGAGAAAAATCAAAGGCAGGGTTTTATTAGATCGTTGAGCTTTTGGTTAGTGCGAGCTTCGGCCAGCTGAAAGCCTGAAAGAGATGCGGTTTCAGGGTTTTCAGGGTTCAGATTCCCCTAAATCTCAATGTTTCTTTGCAGCAAATAAACAAGTTAAAACTATTCGTTAGCCTCGGGGCACGCACAAGCTCGAATCTAGCTTTAGATTAGTTAAAGCATCCCCCGCCCATGCAATACTTTTATTCACTCCAAACACGCTTTGCCCCCCCAACCTAAAGCTTTTAAATTTAAATTTTGGTTTCAGAAGAAAGAAAAAAGCATCAAGAACCTGACCTGATAAATCTCCCTCTCAGTCATCCATGGTCACTACCAGAAGTGGCCTGCAAGTTACTGGTTATTCCCTGCCTGCTTTACCTTTCTTTCAGCACCAGCGCAGCTGCCTGCCATTGGTGGCGCCCTCGCTAAGCTGCTCTCGCCCCTAAAGTGGTCATGGAAAGCAAACCAAAACCGAATCTTGGGAGAAATGTAAACTAAGGACTGCAAAGGATACGACTTCAAACTCCCCGGAAGACGGACCATGGACCACAGGCCGGCTACGTGGATAACAAGTCTGGCTAGATTCCTAGCCACGGCCACGGCCACCCAGCCAACCTGCTTTCTTTGTCCACGCCGTGAACAAGGCCGCAGCATGCCCGGTTGGGCCGAATTTTTTATGTTTTAAGCTCTTTTTTTGAATTTTTTTCACAAATATGTCCCTGGAGAAAAGATTTCAGAATCTAGACCCTTACCTCGGTGCCATCGCTGCTGACGTCGAGCTAACACATCTCGACACCAGCGTCCCTGACGTCGAGCTCTTGGACTCGAAGCCAACATGACGTGACATGACATGACAGGAAGCTCGACGCCAGTCACCCTGGCGCCAAGCTCGGCGCCGTAGATCTTGGCGCCGAACTTAGCGTCAGGGTGACTGGCACCGAGCCTTTCTTACGTATGGGCCCCAATCCTTTGTCTTTTCCTCTCCCTCTCTCTTTCTCGCATCTCCCTCGCCCCGAGCAGAGCACCGCCGTCGCCGCCGCCCGCGCTCTCTTCACTTCACCGCCGCTCGAGCCAGTGAGCCTCGCCCCTCTCAAGACATCGCGCGCCGCCGCGCGCGCCCCACGCGCCTACGCCGGACGCTTCGCCGCCGCCCGCCACATGTCACAGAGAGGGGGCGGCCTGCCACCACCACCGCCCATGAGCTAAGGATGAACGTCAGGACTTCCGGCATGAGTCGTGACTTCCGACTATCGGGAGTTCCGGTTTACGTCGGGACTTCCGACACCAGCAGACACTGAAAAATATTCTACGTGCTCGTGGAGTGCTAGAGTGCCTCTCTTTTAATTTTATTTTTATGCTTGAGCACTATATCTTCCTCAGACCAACTAAGTTTGCATCCCTCTTTATAGTGCGGCGGATTCTAAACTCAAAAACAAAAATAAAACCATCGGAGAGCGCATAATGAGTAATAGCTGCGACATATCTCATTAAGATCGCATTAGTCCCTAATTTAGATGTCATCAATACACCAAAATCCACATAGGGGGCAAATGCACTTTCAAATCCTCGGTCTGAAACATACTGAGTAAGCAACTCATCATCCGAGTACCAGTCCTCTACCACAACCCTGTTGCTATGGCTAGGCTCACCTGCATTGCTCTGACCTGTCTGTCGCCTGTAGTAAGCGGCCTCTGCGGCCTGAGTGAAGAACACGTCGTCATCCTCCTCCACCTGCAAGCCCACCTCTGCTAGAGCGATGAGCTCGCTCAATTTATCATTGTCGTCCTCAGCCTCCTCCGCCTGCAAGCCCGCCTCTGCTAGAGCGATGAGCTCACTCAGTATGTTAGTGTCGTCCTCAGCCTCCTCCGCCTGCAACCCCGCCTCTGCTAGAGCGATGAGCTCACTCAGTCTATTAGTATTGTCCTCATCCTCGTCTCCCTCATCAGACAACACAATCGGTGATTGAACGGTGCGACCAGCTCACGATCTGTGCTCATCTAACTTCTTTTCCTCATACCTTGCACGAGCCACCTCAACGGCATGTTCCTCGCTGCATCCAATCCCTTCATGTATAAAATGCAATCAGTTAGCAACGCGATTATATTATATTTAAAATTAGACAACGAAAAAAGACTTTCAAGCACTCACTGGCACATAATGCAACAACATGCTCGTTCAAGACCTGCATCTGTACTCTTGTCTCCTCCCTTGCCTCCTTCTTTGTCCTCTCCTCCTTTAACGTCATCCGTCTCTCCAATCTCCATTTGTCAAGCTCAACATCGATCGGGTTACAAATACCGCGTTGTCTAGCAAACTCACGCATTTTTTCTTTGTGATGTTTAACGAATAGGTTGACGTAGTCAGGTCCATATCCTCTCTTCCGTGCAATTACTTGCCTCCCCTTTAGTTCATCTAAGAACTTAGCTTGATCATCATAACATTCCCACTTGCATTTCCTAGTGCTCTGTTCAAACGAAAAATTATATCATATATGTCTTAGCAAAAAAACAAAATATGATTTCATGTTACCACAAAAAAAACCAACCTCATCATAGTCAACCATATGGCCGCAATAATGACATATTCCAAGCTCCGAAGGGACTAGGCTATAGTTGGATTTAACACCACATTCGCACATGACAGGAGGTGCTTTGTAAATTACCCTTTCTTTCTTCTTTTCCTTAACCTTTCACTGTTCTTCCGCCATTGGTTCTTAGGACCATATAACCACTCCTTGAAATGATACTTCGCCATTAAAAACACCTAAATAAGGTGACATTAGTACATGAACACATATAGCTCAATATTTCAACACATACACTTTGCACTTACTTCATGCTTGTTTGGACACACAAACTCTAATGTATTCTCAGGGTTTATCACAGCTCGATCTCCGCAATGGCACAAAGGAGGTTCCTCGAGTCATCTAACTGCGGCTAGGTGCTTCTCCTTAGCCGTCATTGGCGGAGGGTTAGGGGGTGGAACCCACCGCTTGAAGTGCTCACGTGGATGTCTTCCTCTAAACCAATCGTCGAAAAAAGGTACCTAGGGTCAAACTTGTCTGGACCATCAATCCACTAAAAGAAAAGGCACCTCTCATGGTTCTACACAACGAGATTCCAACAAAATATTAGTAGCATACTTACACAAATAAAGAAAAAAGATAGTGGAAACAATTTCTTACATTAAAACGACTGCATGTGTAGAAGCACCGCGCCGCTGTGTCCGGATGTTTCGATTGAAAAATGTGGGCTGGGAAACCACAGTCACAGTTAGGGACATAGAGGTCAGGAGGGATGGGGGCATCTTTGCTAGACGTGTTGGGGGGTATAATTCTCAAGGACGACCCCGTTTTCACCAAAACTCCTCCCGATACATTTCTTGCATCTAACAAAACGGATGTTGTCGGTGCGGGACCCACGGGATACCTCGTAAGGAAGAGAGATCTAGTCTAATTGGGATTCTCCCCATATAATCTTAGTAGTAGTATTATTCTATAATTCTACTAGAAACTCTCATTGTAAACCGACTAGGATTCTGACCTCCTGACTATATAAAGGAGGGCAGGGTTCCTAGAGATAGGATCACGATAGAACACAACAACACTTGACAATCAATACAACGTAAAGGCTAACGCTGACTGGACGTAGGGCTGTTACTCGACCACAGTCGAGGGCCTGAACCAGGATAAATCGACTGTCTCTTGCGTTCACCATCGAGTTACGCATACGCTGAAGCCCGAACATACTATCCCGGGTAACCCCGTGATAGGCTACCGGTGGTAAAACATTGACAGCTGGCGCGTCAGGTAGGGGCTTTCGGTGAATTTGC